TTAAGCCCCTGTCTTTGTTATGATTAAATGCATAACATGATTATCCATATTCCAGGAAGAAAGCAGAAAAATGATAGGATTACATTTACAATAATGGTAGACAATGTGCATTAGAGATCTCTTCCATCATTGCAATAAAGCTTCCTTTTCTATTAAATATCAGAAGTTTTCCAAAGCTTGATTAAAGAGCCTGAAAGAAGAACTGTGTTGTGTATTGAAAGTAGATTCTTCCATTCATGTTTGACAAAATGACAGGGGGCAACTGTTCTATTGGACAATGCCAAACAACTTTAACTTTCAAAAGAGTAGTTCTATATATTGTGTCGTCACTACCTTGCCCTGCACACCTGAGATGCTGATAGACATTACAAAAAGAAGTTAAACCCAATGGTTCTTCCTGTGCAACCTGCCCCCTTTTTACCAGAGTGCCAACTTTTCACATCATGCATATGGGACAGGTATAAAAAAAAAAATATTTTATCATCATGGCAGATGTGCTCCCCATCGGGATATGTATAGTCTGCTAAATAAAAAATGTTTTTTCATTTCACCCAAATATTTTGTGCAATAATTTTTAGCTCAATTTGAGTGGAAGCCCAACCCATAACACTTAGGACGATCTAGAGCTTACAAGTTTTAGCTTCAGGCTGTGCTGTGGTCTACACAAGCAGTTAGACTAAAACTTTAGCAGGGCATGTATTATTTGGTCAACTGTGTTATCTCACTTGATCTGATCATATGAAAAAACAGGGTGACCCGATTGCGGAATTGGGGGGCATAGGAGGAAAAGCTGGAGCTGATAGTAGAACAAGTGGAAAAGAAGCAAAATGGGAGCTGATTGTGAACTGTGGAAGAAGAATTAAAAGGTAGAACGACAGTTAATCCTAGACCAGGCAGTGGGATAACACACAGATCTGTTGCCATATCCTATGAACATATTTGTTCATGTACAATCCCTTTTAATTAATAAAAAAGAAAAAAAAGAAAAATTATGTGCCCCCCCCTCAGCTCTGGAGCGTGGAGGACTGGACCACTGGGTGGTGTAGAAAAGTGGATTAAGTTGACAATTTCTGTGTGCATGCCCAATAAACTGGATCTTCATCAGCAGGAGGGAGGGGGAGTTTGATTATTTTTAATGTTGCTGGAATTAGGCTTTAGGGGACCACAATCATACCCTTCCCGTCTGGGAGGAAAAAGTCTAAACTAAGTGCAGGAATTTGAAAAGGTCATCTTGACATCTATGGAACATAAGGAAATAGTGTACCTGGTAAAACAAATTCAAGGACTAAAATTTTACTAAATGGGTTGTCTAATCTAAATGAAGGAGGATTCTCTTTCTGTATATATTGTGTACAAATTAAGTCTACAGCATTACTTCAGAACAATGCCCAATGAAAGGGTGCTGAAGAGTTCAGACATCCAGAAAAAAAGGGTCTATTTTCTATGTAGCCTGAGAAGCCCTTTCAAACAAAAATATATAAATTACCTCTTCTGGACAAAAAATAAAAATTGTAAGCATTCATGTATATCAAAAGACATTTTACAATTAAATAAGACATGCAGTCGGTAGACCTCACCTTGAAATTGGTAATCTGACCTCAACCTTGAAAAAAAGTCTTTAGAGGATAAGTTAAACCTTAACAGTATCTGTAAAAAATAAGTCAAGGCAAGTGGACTTGCTGTACTTTTCTTGAAGACGTTTCAAGTCTTCAAGAGAATAAAAAAGAAAGTAAGAATACAGCAAGTCCAGTTGCCTTGACTTCTTTTTTACAGATATACCATGACCTGGATGAATGATGGTCAGACATTAACGGGTCTATTTATAAAGCTGCGCTGGGCGGATACTATTCACACAGCATTAGTGCCTCTAGGCAGCACCGAGGAGTATAGGAAATTCCAACACTCCTCAGTATATAGCTGGGTATATATAGCAGTATAAGCAAACCATTAGTCACCTATTGAGTACAACAGCATAATGGCTTTCCCAGAGTTTCTAAATAAAACAGTGACGAGAGCATAAAGACCTTAGATCGGGTCAAAGATTCCGCTGGAAGTTTTTCAGAAGATTCAGTTGATGCACAAAATATACATTAATTCACTAAGTATACAGATACCAAAATATATCGACCTTGATGTGTAACCAGTAACAACAGGAAGTAATCAAGTACTTTGTTTTGGGCAGGGTCATCCTTTGGTTGTTTAGCAGCTTCACTGTCTTCCAAGAAAAATAAATCTATGTTTTATATAAAAAAAATATGTAAGAATTAAAATCACAACTTTTTTTAAGACTGTAGCTAAAACAATGACAATTTCAGAAATCAGGTATAGTTTGTGTAGTTGTTATAGTAAATGTTTAGACAATCTACAAAGTTGTCTTAGACATTTTAGCTATGAATATAGATGTGCATTTAGTCAGGTAACAGTTCACATGATATACCTGTATTGCAGGTTTCTGTGGTTCCAATGCCTACGCTGGCATGTTATGTTACATTTTGCTCAGTTAGTTTTGTGTGGATTCTTTTGGTGGCCAGCATTTGTTTTTAATAAATGGCTAATATGTTGCGCTAGGTCATAGTAAACTAAAAATCAACATGAATTCTCCTCTATTCAAATGTGATATGTGAATAAATTATTGAATATATTACGAATAAAATGATATATAAACTTGTGAATAAATAAATTATTATGTGAATATGTCAACCTGTGGGTCGGGACCCCCTCGGGGGTCGAATGACGATTTGCCAGGGGTCGCCTAGTGGCTCTAGGCTGCCGGGAGAGAAACACTTTCTCTCGGAAAAATCGGGGGCCGCCGTAAGTCAGAAAAAAAAAACCACCATAGGAATGCATAGCTAGATTCCTATTGGCTATTTCACTTTGCAAAAGCCAATAACAAACTAGCTAATGCACCCTCCCTCTGATGCTGCCAATCAGCAGAGGTGGACCTGAAGTTCTCCATGAGGTCCCCTTCTAGTGATTGACAGCAGCAGAGGGCGAGTGCAATATGTTATATAGCCACACACTTTAAATTCAATTCTTCTAGTTCCAGCTGCAGAGCCCGGTCCTGTCTTTGCCTATAGCAGTGGTTCTCAACCTGTGGGCCGCTGTGCAAGATGAGAGTCCTCCTCAGCTCTCTCCTAGCGCAGCAGTGTCAGTTCTCCCGCCACGCCACCAGATGACGCTGCAGCAGCCGCGTCATCCCTAAATTTTACCTTTGGGGGTCACCACAACTTGGCAAATGTTACCAAGGGGTCCCGGCCCTAGAAAGGTTGAGAACCACTGCCCTAGAACAAGACGTAGATTAAGCTGGAAAGTGGGGAAGGCCACAGCTTTATTGGGCAATTCCAAAAACCGTAAACTAGTGTCAGCCACAGCCGAGCTGTGAGCTCCTAAACTATCCTCGTGAAAAAGGCCTGCCCATTAAAGATATATTTTATTGCTTCCATGGTCAAACCATCAATAAAGCTGTGACAAATATCCTGGTATGGGGTTGGCGGGGAACTTCTCATGGAGATGATGATCCACTGGCTGTGGTCACTTGTCTTGGTGGAGCCTCACAGCAAAGGCTTTTCCGCCTTATGACCTCCTGTAGCCATAGCCAATCTAAACAGAGCTACTTTGCAAAACCTGTGCTGGGTAAATTAGCAAGAAAGCCCATGCTTCCGGCAGTCAAAGCTCACTTGCACTGGGTGGGCTCCTGGAGCCTTCATTATCTTGCCTTGGTAGCATTTATGGCCCCATGTACAGCTGGGGTTTAGCATCCAAGGGGCTCCACAAGAACACAGGATCAACTTTAATGACTAGCACAGTATTTACAGACAGCTTTAGAACGTTACTTTAGAAATGTTTTCCAGCTCAAGTTCACTTTAAAGTTCAGCACTTGCAAAAACTTTCTTTTTAATAGCATTGCAAAGAGAGTGTAAGGTTTAGACATTCTGTTGGATCTACCTACCTAAACAAGACACTTTCAGCTGTTTATTCAAAACATACCATTAACAAAATATGTTGTCACTCAGCCATCCAGGTCTTTGAAGCTAATATTTATTTCTCTACAAAAGTATAGAATTTGTTATTTCTCATTTATAAATTCTGTTAATTCTAATGTGTCAGAGTCAAAATGATAAAGTCCATAAACCCATTGCACTCGAAACCACTATTCCAAAGATAATGAGAGTGGCTGCTGCGGCTGTCGACGGTTGGCATCACTTGTTCTGCCTAATTAAGGGGATCCTGTGAGACCCCAAAACGTCGCATTGAGTGTATCACGTTATGCTGCTCATAGGTCAACAAACAGACGTATTTGATTTGCTATTGGAGTGCCGGTTTCTATATATTTCGTTTGAGAGTCAAAATGATATCACATTAAAGGCTAAGCTTACCCCATATTCAGGGTGTAACATGAAACATGGTCACATCGCCACCCAGGATGATAGGATCGGTGAATGGAGAAACTACAAGTCAGGCGCCTCGGCAGAGGGACTTGTAGTTCCCATAGAATACAAGTGTGGTGACATAACCGCACTTGTAGTCTATTTACTCTTCCTCCCGTCCATGTTACTGAATGTCTGTACCCCAGTACGGACAAGGACGAGAGGGAGCCTGCCTTCACTGGCTTCAATGCAAAACAGTAACGAATGCAATTTTTTTTCTTTTATGAAGACGTGTGCATTTATTATTTTTCTCTCAAAAAGTGTACTTTACCTTTAAGTTGAAAATGTTGCAAGCTTTAAAAGCAAGTATCATTTATTCTACAAACATTCCACCTGAATGCTTTGGGGTTTTTTTTACATTGAGAACTGTAACAAAACCTAAGCTAGCACCTGCTGCTTTTTTCTTTCATCAGATTTAAAACATCCCCACTGTTCACAGGGCTATGAGTGTTCCAATGCATTTGCTAGGCAGGAGCCATCACTACTTGGTCTTCCGGTAACCTAGAAAATAAAAGGAATAGATAAAGATCATTGTGCAATTCTCTAATCATCTAAATCAAAAGCTGTAAGAAGAAGGAGGAGGAGGGTAAAGCAGAGGGAGGATGACTTGGAGGCAGTGTGGAGCGATCGCAGTTACTAGCATCCCTTTCCACGCCTGTGTGAGTTTCAGTCTTTGTGCAAGCACTGTCTGTCTGCAGCTAACCATGCAGCCTCCTCTCTAACATCCTGTGCAATGAGGGTGCTGCGTCTGTGCCCTCCAAGCAGCCTGCTCCAGGGGCTAGTGGCTTTGCTGGCTATCTGTATCCAGCCACCAACAGAAGGATGGAGTCAGGAGGGACACACTGAAGAGGATATCTTCTTACTCCCTATTAATGCCTCTAGCAGGTCCTTGGCTAATCTGGAGTTTGACTTACAAACTGAAAAGAGGACCACAGTTGAGGAGAGTGGTAAGGAACCAAAACCAGGACATATCAAGAAACTACCTTCTTCCTCACCTTCTCCTGTACCCTCTGCCAGTAACACTTGGGAGAACAGCAGAGAGACTTTGATCCTGTCTCCTCAAACCCATCAGGAGTTCCATGCCTCCCAGTCTCAACAACATGGGTCAGCTCACTGCAACATCAGTGTTCAAAGGCTAATGCTCACTTCTTTGCTAGTCCGCTGGGGGCGTCAGTTGGGCTTCCAGTGTGACCTGTTGCTTTTTTCCACTAATAATCATGGCAGAGCGTTTTTCTCAGCGGCCTATAACCGGGTAGTGTCTCCGGTTGTTATTGAGCACCTTGGGGTTTCTGGGGCGCAACAGGAATTTCGCCTTTGCATAGGATGTGGATGGTCAAGAAGCAGAAGGAGTGGTCATCTAAGGCACCAACATGCATCTTCTGCTGCATCTTCTACATTTTCTTTCATTTCTTCAACTTCAACAGATCCTCACAATTCACTACAAGGGGAATCCCTGAATTTCTGCTGCCTGGACTTCACTTTAGAGGAGCTGAGAGGTGAACAGGGCTGGAGAATGAATCGGAAGCCAATTGAATCCACTTTGGTAGCCTGTTTCATGACTCTGGTTATCATTGTTTGGAGTGTTGCTGCCCTCATCTGGCCAGTGCCTATTATTGCAGGGTTCTTGCCTAATGGTATGGAACAGAGAAGGACAAGTAGTAAATAGCCTTTCAAATTATATACCATGAAATACAGTTTAGTCATTATACAATGAGTAGTGTGCTGTGTTGTGAAACAACTGCCCTTTTCTCAGTAAGCCTATTTTTTTAATGTAATTTTTTTTATCCATTTTCTTGTTACTTACAAAATGAGTAGAAGCCAGTTGACAATGTGTGAAATTTTATTTACATATGTTTTCATAACTTATATACGAAGATAATATTATATGAATGTAAAATACATGACGATATTCACAAATGCTGGAAAATGTATATTTCTCCAACTTACAATGTTAAACTGCAGTCATTCCAATTTACATTATAGTAATGTACTCTGAACACATAACATAATAATGTACAGGCTTATTTACCAAGAAAAAGAGATCACTGTACTAATAATTTAGTTTGACATCTTTGTGCAGGTACTGTAAGGATATGATACAGGATGCTTTCATAACTGATAAAGTAAGTAAACAGTTTTACGGAGGCTTAGGGGTTAACTTAGTGTAAGCATAAGGGTTAACATAGGAAAGGCCTTGGTTAAGGCTCATAGTTAGTGATATTAAGGTCAAAAGCTTTGTAAGTTATCCTTATCCTTACACTGGATGCTGCTCCTTGATGTTTAAAAGTTTTACTTGCATGCAAAATCAGCTGGTCCCCTGAGCGCTGGTCCTGATATTCTGTTTTAGGGGGGCTCCTTTATCTTGCAGGGTCCTATGGAGCCACCCTTGTGTGTGCTAGTAAGCTGTGTGTGTCTCCACAAACACACAGACACAGCAAGGCAATCCTCACCCCTCCTCCCTGCTCTCCGCTTCTTCTTCCTCCCTTCTTCAAGCTAGTACATGGAGAGCTGCTGCACACTGTCCTGCCCCCTGTGATCTTGTACTGCACAGGAAGTCCAGGGAAGCCAAACTTAAGAGTTGAAGCCAGATATTTGGAAACATGATGATTGTAAATGCTTGGGCAAAAATATAGAAATACTTTGCTGGTCGATGTATATTTCTTTGATCTGGAATCTTTGTTGAAAAGAGTTTGAGAGTTTAATACTACTTTAAGTTAAGGGTTAAGTTTTACACTTAGGTTACGGTTTAAATGGTTAAGTGGTTAGCACTTCGGCACTGGGGTCCACAGTTCAAACCCTAGCCAGGTTAATATCTGCATGGAGTTTCCATGTTCTCCCTGTGCTTGGGTGGGTTTCCTCTGTGTACTCTAGTTTCCTCCCACACTCCAAAGACATGCTAATAGGGTAATTGGCTCCTGTCTTAATTGACCATGGAATGCATGTGAGATAGGGACCTTAGATTGTAAGCTCCTCGAGAAGGAAAATTATCTGCACTATATAAATATCTGTAATAAATAAACGTTAAGTGTTAAAGGACTGGTTTATAGGGTAACTTTAGTTAAGGGTTTGGCGAAGTATTGAGTAATGGATTAAAGTTAGATCAAGTATAAAAGGTTATGTTTTAGGGTTAAGCTGGCAAAACACTGTCAGCAGTACCTGGTCAAATTTCAATCAGTGTATGGCCAGTTTCAGGTTAGGGGTAACGTTTAAGTGCTAATGCAAAGTTAGGTCAAGTTTAAGGATGTGGGTACTGGTAGGATTAGGTGTAGGTTCACCTTAAGGCACCATCCAGACCTATAGTTTAGGTGCGATTAGGGATTCCTGCATCAGGAACTTGTGATTTCCTGCAGCAGGAATCCCTAATCTGCTGTTTACAAGCTGCACCTATCACACATCGCAACTTCCTGATGCAGGAATCCTTGATCACACCTAAAACATATATAGGAATGGACCCTAAGGGTTAAGGTAACATAAATGTTTAGGGCTTGTGGGGGAAATACTGTTTTATAACTTATTTTTGGCAAAGTAAACAACTGCATCTGGCTTCCAGTGCTGAAAAATAGTCTAGTGCCCAAAGCAACTTTTTTAGAATGTATCTTTGATTTGAATGCTCTAAGCTCATAAATGGGAAAACCTAGTTGCTATGAGTTACTATATTCTAATGCCATTAATGGTTTTTGCAATGACTTCTAAATAAAACCAAGAGCAAGGGGAAAAGATGTGTTTTGCCCCATAGCAATCAGTTTAATCAATGCTGATTAGCTGATCACAGCTCTTTAAAGTGTATTATGAAATAATGCATGATGACTTAACCATATATTCGCTGAGGTCTAAAGCAAACATAAATGACTAAACTTAAAGTGTATCTAATGTAATTTTTATTTGGCTACAGTAATGACATTTAAAACCCCTGTCAGTATTTATTGCTGTGTTCCTGTTAGGGAGATTCCCTCTTTCTTTTTGTCCTTGTGAACACTGTCATCCATACTGAAAATGAGAAATCCAAGAGTTTTAGTTGTCCCAAAAAAAGGAAAAGAGTAGAAATCTTCTAATGGTGGCACTTGTTCCGGTGACAACTGCCTAATGGAATTTTCCTTACTATAAAGAGATTTCCTCTCACTTTCTGCTCTTTGTACAACAGTGGTTCCCAACCCTAGTAAGGTCCCGGGGTTGGTCAGTTCTTTTAAAAGACTTCCTTGCCCCCAAATAAACAATTAATACTCCTAGAATAAAAGTATGGAAATGCAAAATATGTATTAGAAGAGAAGTAATCAGTTCAAAATATGTTACTGTAAATTAAACATTATGATGAAAAACATACACAGATCAACCATAACATTATGACCAACCGCCTAATACTGAGTAGGTCTCCCATTTGCCACCAAAACAGCCCTGACCCATTGTGGCATGGACTCCACTAGACCTCAGAAGGTATGCTGTGGTATCTAGCACAAAACCATCAGTAGCAGATCCTTTTAATCCTGTAAGGTGGGGTGCATCAATGAGCCTTGGTTGCCCATGACCCTGTTGCCAGCTCACCAATTTTCCTTCCTTGGACCAGTGTTGGTAGGTCCTGACCACTACGGACTTGGAACATCTCACAAGAGCTGCAGTTTTGGAGTTGCTCTGATCCAGTCGCCTAGCCATCACAGTTTGGCCCTAGTCAAAGTTACTAAAATCCTTACGCTTGCCCATTTTTTCTGCTTCCAACAAATCAACTTCAGGGTCCAAATGTTTACTTGTTGCTTAATATATCCCACCCACGTCCAGGTGCCATTGTAACAAGATAATCAATGTAATTCAGTTCACGTGTCAGTGGCCATATGGTTATGGCTTATCGGTGTATAATCTATTTAAAGCTTTATTTTTATTTTTTTATAAATTCTTTTATTAAGCAGAACAAATAAGGATCACAAAGAGCCCATACTGGCTCGTAACCAATATTCAGGTGGTGGACGCAGCCACCGTAAATGCACATGTGAGACAATTACGCATGGCTTAAAGCTTTATTTTTGGCAACTGCCAACTTTGAGAGCCTAGAAAAGAAAGAGAATTGCATAGCAGTTGTGTGATACAACTTCATTCAAATGTCACAAAATGACATTTCATTGATTTCTATGCACTGCAGTGCAGAGCATTGTGGCGCAGGGTAGTGCAATATGCTGCATCAAAATACAACCTGTTATACTTTTTAAATGCACACCAACGCAGCACAAATTGTCTTGTCTATGCATTGGTACTGCTTTAGGCATTGCTGCCCAATGCATATGGTGTTAATGGGCCTCAGCTTTTCATAAGTTAAAACTTGCCTGCTGCTGCTCCTGTCCTACATCCATGCAGGTTGCCGCTGTGAAAAAGGTTTTGCACTCACTCGGCTATGAGTCTTGCAATGGTTATTGTTTCCATGTGCTGCCGTGAGAAGCATCGGTCTACCACTCACTCGGCTCTGGCTGTTTGCAGAACCAGCAGTTACTGTTTGTGTGCTGGCAATGACACCTCTCAAACAACTTCTAGCTCTGTGTAGCAGCCTGTGAGGTATGCACTGCCTGCCAGGTAGGCACACAGATTGTACATATACAGTGCCGGCTCTGAAGAGACTAGGACAATAGCTGTCAAGCCATGGTCTGGCAGGGGGAATATGTCTGTGTCGGAACACAGAATCAATATCCATGTGGCTCTGTGAGGATTCAAACAACACAGTGACAGCTATCAGGCTGTGGGCCAGCAGGAGCCCCGAAAAGGCCCACAGCTAGGAGGTTGAGACATAATGGTGTGCAGGACAGGGAATGAAGGGAAATCTCTCCAATGAGACATGAATGGCAAAAAGAAAAAAACTGACAGGGATTTTAACCATTACCTAATCTGGCCCTCAAGCTGTGCTTTAACTACAAATCCCAATATGCCTGCCTCTGGGAGTCATGTCTGTACTTGTCTTGCAATGCCGCATGGAACTTGTAGTTCCACAACAGCTGGAGGGGCAGAGTTGCCCATCCTTGATCTAATCTAGTCATAATAATTGTGGCTTTAGAAATACTTTGAATTGTCTTTCATGAGATGTGCCAAAAAACATGTGAAACTATTTATATTTTCAATCTAGTGAACAAGGTAAATATAAAAGTCTTGGGTGGCCATCTTTTAATTTTTTTATACATGCAGTTTTATCAGCAACCTGCCCATAAACCTTACAGACACTGTATATTTTAGCGCCTAATATCCGTGAATTTAGGAACAACAGTCACTCGTGGGCTTATTTAATAAGCCAATGTGCAGCAATATTTTATGTGCAAGAACCCATATCCATACCTGCCAATATCCTCAGATGAAAAAGAGGGATACCTAAATGTATTAAGCAATGGACACAACTCTACTACTCCCCCAATTATGTGAACCATTAAGAATTTATATACCAAAAAAGATTGGTTAAACCCATTATTTTTGATTGGTTAAACCAGAATTGATTTTTTTTTACTATTACTTTTCATTTATATTGACCTTTAGAAATAGAAAACACAATAACGGAGAGGTACGATAAAAGTTTTAGCACAGAATTAAACTGTTGGTAGTAAAATAAAACCTTTTGATACATCAGACCAAAAAGAGGGACAACTGAAGAGGGAAGACGGACAGACGAATTTGGTTACAAATGAGGGACAGTTGGGAGGTATGCATGTCCTGGCTTCTTTAAACAGATGAACTGTGAATTTATTAGTTGCTATGGTTTATAGCAACTTTAATTTTATCGCTGTTCTTTGTACTGCCTTACAAAATAAATAACAGAAAATTTTAGGAGCTTTGGCACAATGAGGGGAATTTATCAGATCTGGAGCAG